CTTGGACACGGCCGCCTGGCGTGGGCCTGCGGGGGGCGCCCTCTCCTGCCTCGGCGACAAGGGGCGACAAGGGGCGACGGCCCGACGGCGCGAGCCAACCCTGCACGGCCTCGGCGGCTTCCTGAGCAGGCCCGGCCCTGGAGGCCAGACCCTGGGGTCGCCTCCCAATTTGCAGAAGGGGACATTTCTTGGAACTGTTGGAAACGTGATAGAATTGGCAAAAGTACATGAAATGAGCTATGGGAATTATAATCATAGATCACCATTGCACTTTTCCACAGTATGCAACTTGGGTCTTCCCTCTCTCCCCATGGGGTGGCGAGGGCTAGAAAAACCTCACCCTCCACCCAAGAACGAGGGCTGCTCGTGGAGGCGAACCATCTGCCCGCAGCTGGTGTGCTGCCCTCGGAAAGCTCTGAACTTGGACGGTGGTGCATCTCTTTCTTGGTATGCTTTAAAAAGGGGGGAGGGGAAACCTCTTCCTTCAGCTATTTATTCTGGAGTTTAAGTGTAATTGGAAATATTTTCAAAAGAAAAACCTTTTGCACACACACACACATGCAGGCTAGCAAAGGAATGCGTCCAACAGAGGGAGCGTGGAACAGCCTATCATGGACACTCAGTGTCTGTCTGGCACCAGTATATGGGTGAATGGAGTGTAAAGCAGTTATCCAGCACGGAGCTTAGAATCCTCTCTATTAGTAAGTACAACCAAAGCTTATATTCAAAGTAGAACTACTCAAGCAAGGTGCATTGAAGTTTCTAAGTGACTTTGAGATTTTTGTTGGAATAAAGCTATATTTCCCAAACTTCAGTCATTCTAGTGCCGTCTTCTTAATTTTTGACATACCCATGCGCCACCTGTAAAATTGGTGTTCTTCTTCAAATACATTCATTTTTTTACATGTAGACATAATTATTTTGAAAGGAGACTTTACAACACTACCATGAATGGAAAACTAGCTTCACTTGAATGATAGAGAGTAACCATAAAAATAAAATGAAACAAAACATCATAAAATTTAATAGTAATTAAAAACAGAGATAAAAGTAATGATAAATCTAACCTTTGTTTTTTAAAACTCACATCTGCAAGTAAGTTTCTCAATATGAAGAGCAAGCCTATAGATATTTGGCTTGATTTGTTAGTTTAAGACTATGTACTTGTTTTTTTTACTTTCGGTGTTTATCAGACTAGGAACCTCAACTCACTAGCAAACATATTTATAAAGGTTAAAAGATGCAATTACTCCTCAAACTTGGTGACTTTTGTCCAGCAGGGAGCTAGGACGTATAATCCTCCTGTGGGCCCAGGAAGGAGAGGAGACCAAGATATGGTGAACCCCGCAAGTCTCCAGCACAAAGTCCTTTCATCATCTGGCCTCACCTCTTTACACTTTCTCCCTGGAATTGAAGGCTTTTAATCAGGAAACCAAGTTGATTTTAAATAGCTACAATGAGTACAGGTCTTTACCCACAATTGGCCTCTTCCTGTGTGAGAGGCCTGACCGGGCAACTCTGAGTGCTGGTGTGGCGAGGAAGCTTTCAGGCAAACACCCCAAGTCACTCTGTGTCCACTGGGAGGTGGGAACTTCTGGAGAAAAATGAAGTCAGAAGGATAGATCCTGGAGATTTAATCCAGGGTGTCCAAAAAAGGGTATGCACACTTTAACAACTGATGGTTCTTCAATGAAAATGCAACGTATTTTAATAAACACTGCCTTTATAATTATTCAAAGTGTGTGTGTACATTTTTTGGGACATCCTATATTTGTCAAGTAGAACTTCCAGAAGGAGGGAAAATAACAATGGCAAACAAAGATGGAGCAAGAGTGTCCTTGAGCTGAAGACTCAAGTCTTTGGATTGAAACACCCCCTTGAAATAATTATCACACACACACACCCCTAGTCTGGTGAAATTTCTTAATTCAAAGAATAAAGAGGAAAGCAATGAGTATCACCTTTCCTCTATAACACAGATTACTCAAATAATGTCTTCAAAATTCTAGAGAAAATAATTTCCAATCTGGAATTCTATAACCAGTAGAAAATTTTTAAAAACACACCTCATATATGAAATCAAAATAAAGATATTTTTGGACATGCTAGTACTCTGAAAGTTGCACATATATACTCTTTTGGGTGGAAAAATTACTAGAGCAAAAGTGAAAACCCTAGAAAGAGGATACATTGACTATAAGAAACAGTGGAACCAACCCAGCAGTATGGTGAAAAGAAACCTCAGTATAGTAGCTGTATAACTGGAACACAATCAGT